CAGTCCACCCGGCCCTGTGCTGCCCCAGCCATCAGTCATACCTGCAGGACAGATGGAAGGAGAGTGATGACCAAAGGGTTAGACGTCCCAATGCTGTATTGATGTGTGTCCCTACAAAGTATAAACTGAAGCCCTAACCACAATACCTGTGGATACAAGCTTACATGGAAATAGGGTTTTTGAAGAATTTGTTAGTATGAGTCCAAGGGAAGTAGAGTGGGCACTAATTCAACATGAGTGGTGTCCTTAAAGAGAAGAAAACTGAGATTTAGTTGGAGAGAGAGAGAGAGAGAGAGAGAGAGAGAGAGAGAGAAGGAAGACAGCCGTGGAGATGGAGGTAGACACTGAGGAATGTGGTTACAAGCCAAGGAACACCTGGGCCACCAGGAGCTTAAGTTGACATGGAAGACTCTCCTTGTGAGGGTTAAGGTTGTTTCAGTTTGGCTGGGCTGTGAGTCTCTAGTTGCTTAGGAAGTGCATTATAATCATCCATGGAAATGAGGACAGCATGGCTCCATTTTGGCCTATTCATATTTGAGTCAGCAAATTTACCATAAGCCCCATTCTGATCAGAGTTGACTCAAGACCAATAAACCATGATGTCCAAGTGTCATTTTCAACCTTCTGAATACCTCCCCATTGGATGGAAGACTTGTTGCTGTTAAGCGCCATGGAGTCAGTCCCAACTCATAGCGGCCCTGTATAGTGTTTCCAAGGAGGGGCTGGTGAATTTGAACTATGTGGTTCAAAAAGACCTTGCAGTTCAGTGTATATCCTACAGACTTGATGGTGTTGCTGTGTGCCATTGAGTCAGTTCCAACTCATAGTGACCCTGTATAGGGTTTCTGAGGAGCTGCTGGTGAGTTTGAACCAACAACCTTGCAGCCGAGTGCTTATCCTGTAGATCACAGAGCTATAGTCTCTGAGGGACACTTGCCCCTCAGCAAGGAGTTCTAAAATAAAGGAGATTTCTTCACCTTTGATATCTTAAATAAGAAGTTGTGACCATTTGCCAAGAGAAGAAGGACACAAGGGCAAGGGACACTGTGCAAGCCACAGTCCAGAGGTGCAGACATGTGGACTTGTCTGAGGCTGGGGAACAGCCCAGAGACAGGCTGAGTCCTGGGAGACACAGGGAAAAGGGACAAGAAAGAACCATCAAAGCCTCGATGTCTTGGAAGTTGGGGTGGAGGGGGAGACCCAGACCACATGCCAGGCTGTGAAACTGTTGGCCTCAGAGCATCAAACAACAGTTTAAATCCAATGACCAGAGGCAGCAATCCGTCTCTCCTTTCCACACTGTAGTTTGCCCTTGGCTTGCAGTGAATGTTCGCTGGTGGATCCTCTGCACAGAATATATATTTCATCTCCAAGCTCAGCTTTACGTGGGATCCAGCTGTGCAGTTACTACTGAGCTAGCCCAAGTTATTCAAGCAACATTTAAAACTTAAAGGAAATGTGCAAAAACTAGAATAACTTGTAATAATAAAGAAATTGTAAATAGTCTATTGGACTTCTACAATAAAAATAAATAGATATACAAAACACTAAACAAATGTCAGTTATTTCAACAACTGAAAACAATGAATATTTGAAATCTACCTCACACAAATCAGCTTTTTAAAGCTCATTATTCCCCAGGGACTTTATGGTAACATCTGAGTTAATGTTTCATTTCCACATCACATCCATTGATACAAAGATAGATGATAACTGCATGAATAGATTAGGCAGATAGCTAAATAGATGGATGGACAGATCGATAAACAGAAGGACAGACAGAGATACAGATGGACAGAGACAGATGAGTGGAAGAATAGATAGATAGATAGATAGATAGATAGATAGATAGATAGATAGATGATAGATAGATAGATAGATAGATGATAGATAGATAGATAGATAGATAGATAGATAGATAGATAGATAAATCAGTGCAAGGGGGGCTTCACAAAATTTGTGGGAAAATGGAACTATGAGGTAATGGAATTTTTCTATGATTTAAAAAAAATCCCTCTTGTAGGTGATAGGTCAAGAGATAGATGATAAATCTGTAGATAGATTGATTGATAGATTCAAAGGTAGATACATAGGAGCATAAATGTAATTATATCTAATAATGACGTTGATATTGTTCAGTGATTCCCACATTCCATTGGATCACCTCTCTTTGGAATGGGCACAAATATGGATCTCCTCCAGTTAGTTGTCCAGGTGGCTGTCCTCCAAATTTCCTGGCATATTCTCAGGCTCAGTCTTGTGTGGACGATTTTTTTTTTTTTTTAACTGAAATGCTGCTGGGCTTGCCCAGCTCTATGTTGGGTGGATCTGACAATACTTGAATTTACAGTTCCTTTGCATTCTGTGGTTCAGTTCTGTCAGGGCAAGGACCAAACTAGTAGTGGCTTTGAAATGGATAGTGCTTGGTGACCAAAAGATATCGCCTTCTATCTTAGTTCTCTAGAGCCACTACAGCAGACGTATCACAGACAGTTATTCTCTCCTACTGAGTAGGTTAGAAACCCTAAATCAGAGCTCAGGCTCTTGGGGAAGATTCTCTCTCCATTGGCTCTTGGACAAGGTCTTTATCTCCTTTCAGAATCCATGGGCCTGATGTCCCTCAATGCTGTACACATATCAATCTTTCCCTGATCTAAGAGGTTCTCAGCACTGGTACCTTGCATCCAAAGAATGTACTCTGATTCCAGATTCTTCCCTCTCTGCTCGATTCTTTATCAACTCTCTTAAGATCAACAGTGATGCAGCACATACCCCAGGGAAACCTCCCTTATATCACATTAGGGCTATGATCTGAGGAAGAGTGGTGAGTTAAGTAAGGATGATACATTCCCTTTGTCCACAATCCTGTCTCAAATGCATAACAAACATTATTCAATCATCTTGAACATAACCTAGTCCTGCCTCAATAACTAGGCAGAGATTAGGGCCCATCACTGGTCATAAAATGACACCTGATTGCATCAGTGCACAACTGTCAAACCACAGAGAAGCAAACATTGCCAAGTTGACATATATATTTGGAGTGGACATCCGTCAACTCAATTCTTATCAAGCCTTAGAGTCCCTCAAAGCTCTGGACTACTGGCTCTGGCAGCTCTCGCTACTTCTCTAGCACTTTGCTCCTTCAGGACATGACCTCCAGCAGTGGTCAGCAATCCAGGCATCTCCTGGGTCTTTCTGTAGCAGGTGCATCTAGTAAGACATCCCAGAATGCTCGAGGTGGATTTTTAGGCAGTTCTGCCAGTGCAGTACCACCCCAAGTTCTCTGTTTTCCACTGAGCCCACATTGTGAGGTTCTTTCCACAAAATCTGCATCTCAGCTTTGGGGGAGTGGGGAAAAGCCTTTCTTGGATACTCTGGGTCAACTCTTGGGTGGTAGCTACCCTTTGCCGCTATGATTCTAATATTAATCAGTGTTAACACAACGGACTAACCAAGCCCTCGTTACTCCAATCCCATACTATTTTGAGTATTTCATTGCATCCCAATGTCCCTGTGTAGATTAGTATGGCTTCTATTTCCTGATCAGACCCTGACTGTTCCAGAACTGAATGTGCTTCTCCAGAGTTCATCTCCTGCAGCATCACCTCAGACACTTCTAGTACTATTGGGTCTGAGACCCAAGAAGAGAATCAGCTTGTACTGTGCAGTAGAGCTGAGATCTATGGAAGCAGCTCAACGTGGGAGCTATTGGTTAAAAACGCTGTATTCCAATGAAGAGTAACCCCTGATGGTGTGAATTTCACTATGTGTGTGGCAAGGCACTGTTTTGGGTATTGATGAAGAAGGAAGGTCATGCTACTCAGTGTGTTACTAGGAGACCAAGATACTTGCATCTTAATAGAGACTCCATCAGTCTTGAGCTAAACTAAATGGGTGTTCAATAATTTAAAGAATACAAATAACTACCCATCTTTTATCAAACATTTCCCCACTAGCTATTGCTGTAGCCAATGGCTGTCGAGTACACTCCAACTCATGGCCATCTTCTGTCTAACAGTGAAGAGATACCCAGTCCAGTACATCTTAGTGACCACTGGTCCACTGTGATGGCTACTGTGTCCATCCATCTCAATGTGTCCTTCATGACCCTCTACTCCACCATCGGTCTGCCCTTTATCAGTTACCCACCTCTTTTCTGCAATGATATTTTGTTTCTGAATTTTTCCTCATAAAGAATTCTGCAAACATAATTTCCCTACTTATGATTGTGTTGGGAACCTTAGCCACAAGAACACATTGGTTTAAAATATTTATTAATTAAAAAAAATTTTAAACTCCTTTTATACAAAGATGATGAGAAAAGTCTCATGCAAACTCTGGGCATACAATAAAAATAACTCAAATATTAACACGATGATTCTGTACAAAATAATTCTATTTTATGGAGGACCAGACGCCCCCTGAGGAATGAGGCAATTGTCCTCAGACTGGCATATGAGATCTATGGCCCGAGTGTCGAGATGTTCACAGCTGTCACTACGGTTGATGATGAACACCCTACCACTACTCAGAAAACTAGACCAAGGCCTAGGGACACTCCTCAACACCACTGAGCTCCTGAAGAGCAGAAATGACTCACAGAGATTTGGGTGAAGTGTTAGGTCATCGGTTTACATGAAAACACCTCGAGTTCTTAGAGATGGTGTTGGTTTCTGCTTAATTACAAACCTGTGGATTTATAATTTGTATATATTACAGGTGATTTGCATAAGTAAAACAATTAAGGGACTGACATATCATGGCAATTAGAAACGCATCAAACTCTGAACATTGTACAAAAAAGAGAGCTTCAATATGAAACAGTAATCCTCTGAGAACGAAGCCCGCAGTGCCTGCAGGATGCCTGGCCAGGTGGTTGTGCTTGGGTCCCTGCTGTTGCTCAGGTCCACCTCTTCATCCTCTGTGTGTCCTCCCCTCTGCCCTGGCACTCTCCACTCTTGGCGCTGACCCATGTGTCTTATTGCATTCCCACAAACTCATCTCATCTTCCGTAGCCTCACTCTGTTCTCCTTGTCCCGTTTCTTAAGAATCTGTATGAACTGGTTGAAAAAATGCTCCTGGTCCTTCCTTTTCTGAACAAGTCGAAACCTCTGATCCCGGCCATGCTTCTCAGCAAACTCCTTGAATGTGGTCCTGAAAAACAAGGACGGACCTCAGACACGTTCCCTGAGAGGCAGTCCTGGCTTCCTTGAACATTGCCCACCAGCAGTGGGTGACATGCACTGAGTTCTTCCACAACAGAAACCTCTGGTGCAATTAAAGATGGCGCTATGGACCACTGGGTGCAGTGAAAGATGGCGCTATGGACCACTGGGTGCAGTGAAAGATGGCGTTATGGACCACTGGGTGCAGTGAAAGATGGCGCTATGGACCACTGGGTGCAGTGAAAGATGACAGTATGGACCATTGGGTGCAGTGAAAGATGGTGCTATGGACCATTGGGTGCAGCGAAAGATGGCGCTATGGACCATTGGGTGCAGTGAAAGATGATGCTATGGACCATTGGGTACAGTGAAAAATGGTAGTTATGGATACCTGTCCCCCCACGGGCTCCCATGTTGTGTGTTACTCCCACTGGAGTCCCACCAGGGTTCTGACCCACCTGCAGGTCCCCCTCACCTCTAGATATGGTCCACCTTTGGAGATGACCTTGTCAACACCTTCTCTGCAGTTTCTCCAACTCCCAGCTCCCCATCCCGCCCATGTTCCAGCCAGAGAGTTCTTCTTCATCATCATGATCTGGCCTTGAACTAGTCCTTGAATATGCTTTTCCCGCTGCCTGGTGCACCCTTCCCATATGTCCTCCTCAGTGATGTATACTCAGCACTACGTGTTTGAACTGGCCTGATCTCAGAGATCTGGGTTTCTCTTTCACAGTGCTGACCACCACAGTGGCAGTCTTATTAATCCTTCATTGGACAACTTGGCTCAACTCATTCCCTCTCCCTCACTGGAGTGGAAGCACCTTGATCTTGTTTGCCACTGACGGTGTTGAACATCATACCAATGTGGGTGCATAGTCAGCACTCACTGATTGAAGGGACCCATCACTGTTGGGCCAGAGAATTGCTTGTAAGAACACTCGCATTAGGCCAAGCCAGGCCATTCTCAGATGGCTGGGCAGCTCTGAGCAGAAAGAGTGAACACTCTTTTGTATGATGAGCGGAATCTTTTCAAGCACTGTCTTGGGCATAAACTTGAGGCCAGGACTAGAGACAGCCACAGAGAGTTCAGGCCCCAGATATCTGGTGAGTGCAGACGTAAATAATCATTGCAGTGATAGAAGTTTCTGGTTCTCTCTAGTCACGTCCTTGGGAGCCCCAAGGCTGAGCAGGAGGAGCGTGTGCTCCCAGAGTACATGGTAAACATGTTCAGTGTAAATTATTTTCTCCAAAAATTTCTTATGAGTCCCTCTATTTCTATTTTCCAATATTTTTATATTTCATTGTGGACATTTAGCAATGTTAAGTGCCACTGAGTTGGTTGCAACTCATAGTGACACAGTATAGGAGCAGCTAGTGGGTTTGAACTTCTGACCTTGTAGTTGACAGTCCAGTGCCGATTCTATAGCACCCCACCAGTACTAAGTGACTAGAACTTCATCATTTTATATAAGTGAGCACAAAGCTTATACTGACAAGGCTGTTAGAAAACGAACAGAGTCATGAGAAGACTATGGCCACTGCCTTCCTGGAGCAAGAAGAGCCGCCCATTCCTCAGCCAACACAGAGATCCCCTGGCCACATGGTACTGGGGGAGGCTCTGAAGAAGAGCATAGTACTCTGCGTTTCTTTCCTTCCTTTCTCCTTCCCTCCAGTCCTCCCCCCTCTTTTCCACTGATCCTCCCTCCCTGCTACCCCACCTTCCTGCAAAGATATGTCTTTGAGAAGCAAGGGCAAAATTAAAATCCTGTGACCCTGTAGCCAGGCATCCTATGAATGACCGTGCTACACCATGGCTACCTGTCATGACGGCTTGCTTCAGCCATAAGAGATCACACTCAGTAAGAGTTTGACCATTTGTTCTTCTAGATTTTTAAATTAGCATTTCCCGATGGGGATCATTCATGCTACCTCTTCCCCATTCAGAAAAGATCTTGCGTTTAAATAGTTGACATCTATGTAACCAACCATAAGTGGCCAAATTACTGACCAAAGAGATTAAAGATCAAAATATGGAAGCTTATGATGCTCTATTAAAATGCACCAATGAATGACCATTTAAAAATAATATTTCACATCACAATTAATATGAAAATATCTTTAAAGCATGTTTATACTAAGAAGAGTTATAGGTTTATGATTCCAAAAGTAGTATGTTTGCATTATTTACAAACATTCCATTAAAGCTTATTAAGAAAAATAAAAGTCAAGCATTTTCCCAATTTCTACCACTTGTTTCCTGATTAGTTTGTTTTATTTCCTGAAAAGTTCACCTTATTATTTTAGTTAAGTTTCAGCAACACAGATCATGATCTTCAAATGCCTTAGTTTATACAACTGTCTTGTTACACTATGGCCAAAGGCTCAGGATCCAAGGATAGGGCTTCTTTTGCTGTGATTGTTTGCTGATCATTTCACAATTTTACTCCTTGATCATTGGATCAGGAATTAACCCAAAAATCAGAGGATTTAGCTATTGATTCACTATTTAGATCAAGAAGTCAAAGATGGTGCCATTTTGAAAATTGATATCTTCAGGATAGAAATGATGATGATGCATTTGTTTAATAACTAGCAACCATTTGAGGGTGTTGGAAGTCCAGAAGTTAACAACACAAGGAGAAAGCAGGCTTCTCCTCTGATAGGTTTTTTAAAAATTACAGTTCAGATGTCTGTGGAATGTGGGGTTCCATCATGTAGCATGGGCAGTGTATAAGGAAGACCGTAGCAGAATCGATGCATTTGAGTTTTGGTGTTGGAGAAGAATATTGAAAGTAACATGGACTGACAGAAGAAACAAACAAATCTGTGTTGGGAGAAACACAGTCAGAATGTTACTTAGAAGCAGGACTTCACCTCTCATACTTTGGATATATTATCAGGAGGGGCCAGTCCCTGGAGAAGGACATTATGCTTGGTAAAGTAGAGGGTCAATGAAAAAGAGGAAGACCCCCAATGAGATGGATTGGCACAGATGCAGCAGCAATGGGCTCACAATTGTGGGGCTAGCAGAGGACCGGGCAGGTTTTTGTTGTGTTGTGCAGGGGACCCACAAGGTCACTATGAGTTGGAACAGACTTGACAGGATATAACAACAACAACAACATCATGGAGCAGAAACAAACTCTGCAAGTTCTCTGGCAATGAGTAAAATTCCATACCCGCAAACCACCTGCCATATTTCTTCCTCCATACCTGGGTGACACTTTTGATTCCTCTAAAAGTTTTTTGAATTCTTCTTTGGCTAGCAGCAATTTATTTTTCTTTTCCTTGTATTCTTCTTTTATCCTTGTCTTGACAAACTGCTCAAATATCTTAAAAGACACACACAAAAGAAAAGCATTACAAAATGACCCATTGGAAATGGAGTCTTCCATTGCAAACACAGTATGAGACATGACAATTGCAGAGATGAAGCTTGTGCCACCACAGAAGCATCAATGGCTAGCTCACATAGTCTCAGTCAGGAAGTCTGGGTAAGTTTCTCCCATACAGGTATGCTCCAAGGGCAGACAGCGGGTCCACCTGGCTTGGGAAATATAGGCTTGGGCTGGCAGCCCTTGGTAGGGTGTGAAGCAGATGAAAACCCTGGCTGGAAGTGCTGCAGGGGTCTCATTTGGACCCTTGGCGAGCATACCTTGGCAGCTCACTTCACCAGCTTTCCCAGGCTGCCAGCAATACAAGTAGCCTACGCCAATCTTAAGGGCTCCGCTCTCTTCCTAGGGCAATGTCATTGCTATTGGGTTCTCAAGAATGACTTCAGATTGTGAAAAGGAACTAAATCGAACATCTCTGAATCCGCTCATGCTCTTATCCATGGAAGCCATGGGGACCTGACCCATTGTCAAGGGCTCAAGCACACAAGATTATGCTTCACTGAGAATGGCTCACCGAAGCTCCTGGGGACCCTCAATGTGGAAGTGACTGAACGAGGCTGTCCTCGTTCCACAGACATCTCCCCCATTTAAAATGAGGTGTATCTGAAAGCCAGCCCTATTCCTTAGCGTAGAGTCTGTGTGGATTTTCTGGTGAATAAACCCGTTCAAGAACCCCAAGGAATTTCAGTAACAATATCCCTTTGTCATAATTCCTGAAGTGATTCTCCTCCCTGTCAACTCAGAAGTGCCCATTGCCCTGGTGTGAGGACACCTCTTCCTTGTAGATTATTAACTCAAGGTGGACGTTTCTACCCTCCAGCTCTCCAACTTCAACAACATGGAAAAGAAAACTGGAGATCGTGTTAAATACATGCAACCAGTGTTCCACTCATGATCCTGTGAAGTCGATTTTTCAGCACCAACCCGACCAGTAGCCATGGCAGAGGTATTGGAAGGTGGCCTGGACCACCATGGAATCTGCTCATCTCTGACCTCCCCACCAAGTAGATGCAGATGGGAGCAGACCCAAGCTGCCATAATTTATAAGTGGCTCTCTCTGGGTGCTCTTGTATCATGTCTAACTCGGTTTCAATAATGGCAACTGTTTACCGGGTAACAAAGTGCTACTCACCTCCCGAAGACCCAGCAGTGTAATGAAACAGTAACGAAGATGACTTACATTTAGAGCATGTGTGTGTGTATATTTAAGTAAGAGTGTGATGGGCTTTTTTCACCTTCAAGGCAAGTACTAATGCAAGTTTTCAGGTTGTCTTATAATTTAAACTCATAAAAGAGGTGAGTGCAGGGTTATTATCCAAATCAAAGCTGGTGGTGCCACCATTACTCAGAGTTTTGCTCTATTAATTTTAAACCTTGATGGAAATCCTCCTCGCTGTGGGTCCAGCGCTCTCAGGGAAGATCTTCTTATACTCGTACCTTGGTCATGTGTCCATTTAATCATATTTTTCTCTTTCCCTTTGGCTGCTGCTTTTTCTGTGAAATCATAATTGAATGCAATAGCTTGTTGTTGTTATTTTCCTGTGTAACAAACTAAACTGGCTTTCTCCATAGTGGGACATGACTTGACTTTGTAAAAGGGTACCACCGGGCATGATCTCATGATTTAATCCAAAGAAATACGAGTTGTTCCCATAGAAACAGGTCTGATTAACACCTCGGAGTGCCTACTTTGTATTTAAGCGCCCTCATTTCCTGGTCGAGGAATGGCTGCACTGTGGGCACTGTTAGTTTCAGCTTTCCCTATGAACATATTATGGGATAGTCTCACAGAGACTCCCAGGTTAAGAACTTGCTGGCTCCATTTATGCATTAACAGGGCTGTGCTTTATTTTATTTTATTTTTTATTTTGCTTAATGTTGTTATTGTTTTGTTAAGTGCCACAGTTGGTTCTGAGTCATAGTGACCCTATATAGGGTTTCCTAGGAACAACTAATGAGTTTGAATCACCGTCCTTGTGGTTAGTATTCCAGTGCTTATCCTACATTTTTTTTTTTTTTTTAATTAGTAGGGCCCAACTCTTGCTGCTTCTATCCACTGAGCTTCAGTAACGCTCCTTACCTAAGCTGCAGCCTTCCCCCTTGGGTTCAGATTGGGCTTTTCTTACAAGGACCTGGTACAAATAGTTGATGTCCTTGGCTGTTAATCTAAAACTGGAGTTCCAGCTTGACATGCAGACATGCCTGGGAAGACAGTCCAATGGAAACCCTCTGGAGGACAGTTCTACTCTGACACACGTGGGGTTGTCATTTGTCCGAGTCAACTTGTAGCCAACTGGAGGTGAAGGTGGGTCCCTTCTTGGACCCATGCTGTGATAGGTTAAGACAGAGGGGATTTGAAGGGATGTTTGGAGACTTTCCCTGAACAGTGGTGAGGGTGGAAGTTGATGATACCGTTTGACATTTATCTTCAGGGACACAGTCAGATGAATGTGGGACGGTTCTGCCCAGGCATCTGATCCCTCTGACCATGCCTGTCCACTCTGCTGCCTCAGATGTACCTTGGTGGGGCTGCCATGTCCATATGACACCCAAAAGTCATAGGTCATCTAATAGAGCATGTTGGTCTTCTTGTGTCCTAGCCTGGACACAACTGTGACTGTAGGATCACATAGGAATTCATGCAAGACCAAGTGAGAAACTGGTCTTCTCAAATTTCCTTTGACAGAGCTAACGGGCTCTAAGTCAGCAGCTAAGAGGAGGGAGAATGTCAATATCATTGTGCAGCTGGCTCTTTGGGAGGTGAGCAGCATTTTGTTATCCACTTAGTATTTGCCATTACTGAAACCGAATTAGACATGATACGAGAGTGCCTAGAGAGAGCCACTTATAAACGGAGGAATCATTGAGGGTTGGGTCTGCTCCCAATGTCAGTGACAATCTTTATACATTCTGTTTGTTATCAGTCATCAACCAGTCTGTAGATTTTAACTATGATGCAAGACAACCTGGTCACGTAAACAAATGGGCCTCCTACTATCTGTTTCAATAGTCTAACGTCTTGATTTTGAATATTGAAAGAAAAGGGGGAAATATTACTTATTATTACAGTCTGCAGCATTCTTGTGTGACAGATATATAT